ATTTCAATGCAATCCAAGAATCTCCCAGTAAATTTTGAAGAAAAGGTTTTAAGAAGTGAAAGCCTAGCAATATTTCCCTAATATTTCTTAAGAATCTAGAGGGGAAATTCCCCTCCAGATTCTAAATCTTTTGACAGGGAATATAAAGAGAAGGAAAGCACAACTACAATTAGGAGGGCGACAACTGTTGATGATGTGGCTCTGCCACTCTCTGCAGAGCCTTTGAAGCTAACTGGTTTCACTTGTTGCTAGTTGCCATGGGGATAGATACGGCAGATTATAAAAATAGTTATTCTAAACAGAACACTTAAAAATAGAAAACATTTAAGCAAAGGGTGGCTTAAAGCCAAAGACCAGTTTTCACTTATCCTATAGCCCATAACAGCAGAAATACCTCCTTTTTTCAGGAAGCTTCACACCTCACAGTGGACATTTAGAAATACCAGGTATTAACTACCAGCCTTCTGTGTTGTTCCTCTTTCTACATCCCATCTGAATGCATGTCATCTCTCTCATTTGCATATATCATTTCATTTATTCTCCATCTACTCCCCCTTTTTTGTAGCTAACTATGCATTATTTAGCTCTTAAAGCATTCTGGCATTTTGCATGGAAAAAAAACAACAACACAGAACAAAATTATATAGTATCCTTATTCCCCCATTATTCATACAGCATATTCTTCCTTCCTTTCCATCATCATACAATGTCACTCTGAATGAACAAATCTATTAACTCATTTTATTTTTCCCTCTTAAGCCAAATACACAACGTGTCCCAAATCCCTGAGTTACAGCTATGTCATCAGTTCCTGTCAACCCACTTGCCAGTCTCTAAGTGAGCCCGATGTCACATGCAACATAAAGTTTGTTCCAGTTGATGGCTGTACTTGTGTAAATGACACTTACATGGATGAAAGTGGCAAATGTGTGCCTGCTAGCAGATGTCCCTGTTACTACAAAGGATCTCTTGTGCCCTCTGGGGAAGTGATTCATGAAGATGGTCATGTATGGTAAGAGATTTTCTTGTAAAACACTAAAACTACTGGTATTTCATATAAAATTTCTTAATAACAGACTATGCCTCATTTAAATTGGCTGTACTCAGACCTGCCTGAATTTCAGTACAATGTTCTTCAATGAATCCCTGTTAGTCTTCAAGGATGGTGTATTTTTCAAGATTTATTAGAATAATTGCATGTAGAAGAGAGTTCTCTTGTACTGAATCATTTCCAACCATAACATAGATAAATGTGCCAAAAGGGAGAAGTTAAAGGCTACAGTAAGCAGCAAACTCATAGAGAGACCTTGTCCCATTATATTTTTTCCTATATATCTATTGTCAAAATGATATGGAAATCAAGTAGCAGCTGGGTGGAAAACAAACCCTTTTCTGACTACATGGTGGTGCTTTAGAATTTCATGGTCTCTTGGAAAGTTCTGACACACCACAAGAAAAAAATCAGCCTCAGTATACACAATTTAAAAAAAATAATTCTCTTCCCTTTCTCACAGCACTTGTGTAAAAGGAGTGTTGAACTGCATTGGAACCAAAACTGCAGAGCCAGGTAAAATCTCTTCTTTAGCTTTCCTTTGCTCTCAATCATACCCTTCTTGCTTCGAAAAACCGAATCTGAAATCCCCAGGAAAGTCAGTGGACCAGAAACATTTGCTTATATATATATATTATTTTTTAAATGAAATATCACTCTATACAATCCATTCAGTAAAACAAGACAAAAAAAATAAACACAAGAGTAATACAGTACTGATCATCAAGAGTCATAGCATCATATTATTTCTTAGAAATGGGTATTAATTGTACAAAAGCAATTGCATTCCTTTTTTATTACACTAGGTATAGATAGTTTAGAAAGTACACTGAGACCCTTTTCACTTACTAGCCAAATGAAATGTTCAGACCTGGAGCACTTTTAACTCAGATGTGCCCCTCATTTGTACTGCTGTGCAAACTCTGTGCCATATATCATATCTCATGTCACTCTCTCCCCTAGTCTGCATTTCTCCCATGGTCTATTTTGACTGCAAAAACATCACTGCAGGAACCACTGAGGTTGAGTGTCAGAAAAGCTGTCAGACTCTCGATATGCACTGTGTAAGTATGGAAAGCCTGGAAAAGATGGGTTTGTAGACAACTATTTTTTGTTCAAACTCTTTTACACTACAATAATTCATTGTTCATTAATTTGGTTCTGAATTGCCCATACTGAAATCTGCTGTTTAGCAAGATAGTATTACATTACATAAATTGGATTCTAATGTAATGCATCAAAAATAAGAACACAGTAAACATTTTTTTTGGACTTTTCATCTACTCACATATAGATCATCCAATAACACCCTATGCAAATTCCAAGGTTCCCTCACCTAATACAGGCTAGTATCTTATGTAGTACTCTTTACGCTTTCACAAACCACAGGACACCTAGTTAGACTGGGCATATGAAATGCTTACTTTTAACAGGTTTGGTCATTCACTAAATCTTTGTCTAGCAAGTCAAGATTTCTGATTTAAGTCAGATTAAAGCAAACCTAATACAGAGACCTGTTAGGAAAACCTAGTCTTTCCCCCTACTCCACTGGGTTCATTCTGAAATTATATTTTTCTCTTGGCTTTCACAGTATAGAACACAATGTGTATCAGGCTGCATGTGCCCTTCTGGGCTGGTGTCAGATGGGAAAGGTGGCTGCATTACTCAGGAAGAATGCCCATGTGTTCACAATGAAGCTATGTACAAGCCAGGAGAAAAGATCAAAGTGGGCTGTAATACCTGGTATGTATTCATGGAACAGCACTGTTCATGGTCCCATCACTTGCCTATCCAAAGATCCATATCCAGTTAGTAGAGCCATGAGATGGGACTTTGTTTGTGCAGTCATGACAAATAGGTTTTCTTCTGTTTGAATGCAGATGTCCAAAACAAAGAATAGCACTCAGGAAATATTTGGGTTTGAGGTGTTCAAGCAGTATTATCCATATTGCTATATTCAGGCTTGTGGAATAGATCTTGTGTACATGGAAGCATTCCAACCTCAGCTCAGCTTTAACTGGGACTGAAGTATATGCATGAAATACCTAAGTATCAGAGTTCAGCTGGACTAACAAGTGTGTCATTTTTTTTTTAATTAAAATGATCTCTCTTTGTTCTTAGTGAATGTAAGAATAGGATGTGGAGCTGCACCAAGCACCAATGCCTGGGTACCTGTGCTGTTTATGGAGACGGGCATTACATCACCTTTGATGACAAAAGGTTCAGCTTCAATGGAAATTGTGAATACACACTCGTCCAGGTACTGAGCTTCTTTTTCAGCATGAATACTCAAAAAGTAAGCTTTATCCTACCTATGGTAATAATCTGTCTTTTAAACTCCCTTTCCCTCCGCAGGACCACTGCGGCATCAATGGCACAGCCAATGGAACTTTCCGAGTGATCACTGAGAACATTCCTTGCGGCACCACTGGAACCACCTGTTCAAAGTCTATAAAAGTCTTCCTAGGGGTCAGTAGAGTTTATAGTGCATATTTACTAAGAATAGTTTTATTGTGTTTCCATTCTGAGGTTCAAAAGAAGCCAGAATATTTACTGCAATGCCCCAAATTCAGAATTATTTTTCCCAAAGCAAATAGATTCGTAAAGTGTACCTTAAACCAAAACCAAAACAAAAGAGTTGGTAGAACTTCCAATCTTATTTTTTTCCCCAAAGCTCTCCTTTGTAGTACAATAAAAGCTCTGTTATCCAGCATCCCCAGGAAAGGGGGATGCTGGATAACAAAATACGCCAGCATCCCTGCCTGTTCAGGCCACCGCTTCTCCCACCACATCTGGGGCGTTGCTGCCCCTCCCGCGGCATCACCAGCCCTCCCATGGGCCCTGCAGGCCCCGCAGGACAGGGAGGCGGGCCCCGCACAGCCTGTTATGCCCCCAGGCTGTGGGGGCTCAGCAGCGCAAGCTGCTTTGCCCTGGGCCGTGGGGGCTTGGCAAAACCAGAAGTGCCACGGTGGGCACTTCCGGTTTCACTTTACCTTACAAGCATGCCAGTTAATGGAACTTTTACTGTACTTGACACTACCTGAGAGTACTTCAGCTCTCCAGAAAAACTATATTGGGGGGAATATGGCCTACTGTGCTTTAAAACATGTTTATATCCCATATGATAGTGCCCCTATAATCACAGATGCTACCTGCTTGGATTGACTTCAACCATTTAAAATACAGTTTTAAAAAACTGCTGCATGCTTCTTTGACATTAACCATTAGATCTCCATTCAGAGATAGATTTAGATTGAATTATTAATTAGATCAGATTTACCTCATTAGTTATAAAAAGAAATAATGGCTCATTTTCATTTTAGTTGGTTAAAGAGCAAGTAGATATTAAAGATAAATGTGAAGTAAAACCATTTCCATACATTTGTGGTGGGCAAATGCTTCTTCTGCTAAGATTATTTTTAATCATAATTTCTTTGATTTTTCTCCCTGTGTTAGAATTATGAATTGATACTCAATGAGGAGCACTTCCAGGCAGTAAAGAGGGGTGATGGACAGGAAGTGCCATACAAAGTCCACTACATGGGAATGTACTTAGTGATTGAGACTGTCAGTGGACTGCACCTTATGTGGGATAAGAAAACCAGCATCTTCATCAAGCTTAGTCCTGATTTCAAGGTGAGGATCTCAAAGCCTTGAGACTGCTGCCAACTGTCATGCTGATAAAAAGGTTCAATTATCATATTTCACAAATGAGGAAATTGTGTGGAATGAAATGAAGCTGAGAACATAAATGAAATTCTCTTGTAACATACCATTGTGTATTTTCAAGCCTGTCTCAAAACCAGGTGTTGAAGACAGTGTACCTCATTGTAGTAGTGCTTACTCTTGTAGCTCATGATCTACAGAAAGGCTATGAAACAACACTGGAAATGGGAACTTGGAGTTGCAAGCAAAATACAGTTAGTATTTATTATTGTCAAAAATCCCATCCCAGGAAAGAACAAGCAGCAGATTATATGCCCCTATTGATAATTATTTCATGACAGCTTGGCAAGGTTCTTATCTATGTATGTATATTGAATATCTGTACAAAACAAGACATAAGCAAAAGAGACAATAACAGAGGATTTCTCATTTCTATGATAATGTCATAACTCACCAGTGACATGGCAAATGAAACACGCTTTTTCTGATGTTTGAATTTAATAGGAGTATATAGCTGAAACTGCTAGCATGCTAAATGATGAAGCTTTCTGTGCTCCCTCATTATTTTATTTTCTTCTTTGTTCAGGGTCAAGTCTGTGGCCTATGTGGAAACTATGATGACAATGACATCAATGACTTCACCACCAGGAGTCAGTCTGTAGTAGGAGATGTGCTGGAGTTTGGAAACAGCTGGAAAATATCTTCTTCTTGTCCTGATGCCAAATGCGTAAAGAATCCATGCTCTACTAACCCTTACAGAAAATCCTGGGCAGAGAAGCAGTGCAGCATCATCAACAGTGATGTCTTTTCTGCCTGTCACCCTCAGGTACAACAATACCTTGAAGCAAAATTCTTCTGAATTAAGGCTATATGTTGATATTATTCCTGTGCCTGTGTCCTTGACACTACGTTATTATTCTCTCCATTCAGTTAACTATGTGGGTAGCCTACTCTTAAACTAGTATGTATGTCCTAAGTATGGCTCAGAACAGGCACACTGGACTGGTAAGGGTGGCCAGAATCTGGAATGGGCTTCCGAGGGAGGTGGTGCTCTCCCCTACCCTGGGGGTCTTTAAGACAAGGCTGGATAGGCATCTGGCTGGGGACATCTGACCCCAGCACTCTTTCCTGCCTAGGCAGGGGTCAGACTCGATGATCTCGTGAGGTCCCTTCCAACCCTAGCATCTATGAATCTATGGATATAGATCCATGTCTCAAAGTTAGGGGGGTTAGAACTAACCTAAACATTCATAACCAAGGGTCATCTCTACTAGATACCTTTGGCTGTTGTGGAATTCCATCCATTAAAAGATAAGTCTGAACCTATTCCAGGTGGACTATTCAGAGATTTCATTTTCTCCCTATTCCAGTAGAACTATCCAATTGAAAAGAACCCCTCATACACTGACACAACTCCACAGCTGGTATGCTTCACTTTGAATTGTCACAGGTAAACCTCAGGCTGGTTTATTTTGCTCCAGTGGATGATTTCTAAACAATAGAATAGACAGTTCCTCTGTCAGAAAGCATCCATGTTTTTCCAATGTACAAGAAAAGTAGTCTCAAAATAAACCGGTATCCAGTTGCTTTTTAGAATATGATGTTTGCTATTTTCCTGAAATGCCATGTACCAAATACTCTCTCCCTGGGTTAATTATTAGCATGTTGGAGTGGTAAGGGGAAAGTGTCACTGAGGACATCAACAGCCATTACTAAATCACACAGAAAACAATGTATGCTAAAACTTGCTCTTTGTGATATGCTAATGTTTTCCATAGAAACCAACCTTGATTTTCAAACATAGTTACCTAACTAAATGGTCCAAATCCTGCAAATATGGTGATATTAATTGTTAAATATGTGATTTAGACACACCTGTTTTAGCCACCTTGTGGAGGAAGTAGCATCAGCCTGCTTTGTCTAACAGTACAGAAAGATAAAGAAATTTTTGATTTGGGCCTTTTTTTTTGGTATTTCAAGATCTGAAGGAGAATCATTCTAGCAAAGCAAGATGCAACCTGAGAAAGGAGGGCTTATGCCAACTGTTGGCTTTTCTTACAGGTTGACGCAAAAAAATATTATGACTCATGTGTGACTGATGCATGTGCTTGTGACAGTGGAGGAGACTGTGAATGTTTCTGTACCGCAGTAGCTGCCTATGCTCAAGTATGCAGTGAATTTGGAGTCTGCGTGGCCTGGAGAACACCATCCATCTGTCGTGAGTATTACCCCTTCACTTAATGGAGACTGAATGAATATTGCTGCAATTTCAAGGCAAATCTACTGAGAATGGTTTTAAATGTATGACAGCATTTGGTTCTCAAGATTCACTAATGTCCCTGCACAAGAACATGCTGCCCTCCTTACAGATACAGAATATACCTCTCTACAGACTATATGTACCTGTGGGGCTTTCCTGATGACCTCATGGTGTATAAATATCATGTTGAACTGGACTAGTGACACTATCTGTAAAGGGGGCTAGATCAGATCAGGGTTACCAGCGTGTGGCACAGGTGCCACAAGAAGCATAGAGATCAGGGAGGAGACAGGAAGCACAGTTGCAGATAGGGCAAGGAACAGAAAGAAAAGTAGCAAACTGGGCAGAGACCACAGGGAAGGAAGCAGATCAGGAAGTAGATCAGACAAGGAAAGGGGATCAGAGTAGCACTTGGTGGGGGAGGGATGGGGCCAATTTGTGGCATACCTGCTAAAAAGGATGGTCCCCACTGGATTACATGAACCTGGAAGTCCTTTTCAATCCTGTGATTCTATGGTGATTATGCAGATTCAGCTCTTAGTTTGTGATTTTCACAACTAGTCAAGCAGCATAACTGTGGTATAATGGGATGTCTAAATAATAAATGAACAACACAACATTTTGTTCTGAACATGTCTGTTTTCCTGTTTACTTTAGCTATGTTCTGTGATTATTATAACCCAAAGGGGGAATGTGAATGGCACTACAAGCCTTGTGGGGCTCCCTGCATGAAGACCTGTAGGAATCCAACTGGAAGATGCCTTAATCAGTTCTCAGGCTTAGAAGGTAAAAAGAACTATAACACCATCCCTGTCACTGTAGAGTACATAACTGGTGACAGTATTTTTCCAGATCAGTTATTGTTGGACCAAATTCTCTCTTCAGTTGCATCGCTAAGATCTATTTTTTTTCCATCAATGTTGCATCTGCACAAATAAATAAAGGTAACATTTTGGTATTACTCAGAGACAACCATAGCAGGGTGTGAGACCTAGGGCAAATTAACCGGTACGGGGCCAGGACACCACGGGGGGGGGGGGGGGGGGGGAGGTTAACCCCATTTAGGGCA